TTGAGAAATTTCCCATGAAAATCCTCCTGTACCTTGCATCTGTCAGGTCATCGTAGTTGTACGGCATGGAGACAGTTCTTCTAACAAAAAAGTAAGAAGGATGGTTTAAATGCTTACAGTAAAATTAGATTAGGCAGGTAATGAGGGTTAAATGGTAAAACAGCATAAGGAATAACTATTCAAGAAACAAGTGATCTTGGCAGCTGTGGAGATTCTTAAAAAAATAAAGTTTGCCATTAGAAAAAATGGTTTAACATAAACATTTACTTCAGTCTATGTGCTTCTTATGTAAGAGCCAAAACACACCAGACATCAGATAAGTGGGGCAAGAGAGAGGCAACTCTGCCTTCAGAGAGTAGTTTCCTTCTACAATGCAATAACCGGTGCCATTGAGCAAAAACGTGGAAATGCTGCGAAAACATCACAAACTATAAATGTTCTGTTTATAAAAACAATTAAACGTGATGACTTCATGAAACACACTTGCATTTAAATTTTTTACGAGTTAACAGTTGATAATGTGTAATTATTATTTAGCGCAATTATCACTCGCGTCTCTCTATTCTATTTAGTTTATACTACCGATTTTGCATTCACGGTGATGTGATTATCAGCTGTAGAAAACAGCAGCGCATTGCTCTGAAAAACTGTTATGTAAATTCTTTGTAATAGCACCGTCTTGGCCAAAAAGACGTCGCGGGACATTTCAAAACCTACCATTCTGAAAGATTCGCTGTACGAAGAAAATTTTTCATGCCAACGGTGAAGAACCCGGCAACTTTGCCATAAATATTTAGCTATGTCCCATCCAGTTTGCAAACCGCTCATAAATATTTGCTAACGTAAGTTATTTGATTTTTTATTCAAATTACATATTGCTTCATTGCTTTGTTGCAAACTGCATAGGCATCACTGCGGAAAGCACAAAGTATATCTTCGTGCTATAAATAAATATTTAATTTAACAGTCAACACTGTTAATTAATGTTGCCAAAACGTAAGTTAACGTAAAAAATGAATTTGAGAAATCCGGTCTAGTACACACATTTCATCCGCCTGAATACTGTTGTTGTGCAAAGGACCAAATGTGGACGGGCACTGCAGACTGGCGAATAAAGGTTGATTGCAAATCTGGAAAGGAACAGCATTAGAAAGCACAAGATCTCGTTTACCATGAGATTTACCTCAAGAAATTTTTTCATCCTTTGACCATGAGAGTGTCCATCCATTCCTCTCATCGAGCTGTTCATTGTTCCATACATCTGAATTGCATAATCGCGATGATATCAATTTGGCACTGTCATTCCGTCCTGAAGACGTCAACAGTTTTCCCCGTTGAAACGTTCCAACATACAATACAGAGCAGTCCTTTCTTAACGTTCAACCTAGAGATGGAAAAATTCTTGGTCGAAAAAAATTTCTCCTACTGCGGACGTGGAGCTCTGATCACGCAGTTGTGCTTTCAGAGGGTGATAATGAAACGATATTTCTGCAGAATACATAATTCAGGTTCCTTATCGAAAGACGTCAATAGAATGGATACTCTGATGTTCAGCGTCCCTCGAGATTATTTCATCAGAAGTCTAAATCTTGAAAGGACATTACTTCAAGCTCTGAGCATGCTCACATTTCTTGGATCGTAACTCCGTATTCGAACCCGTGCAAAACATTAACTTACAGCAAAGCTGGTCATATTAAAATTGTATAATTTTACAAAACAGCAGTAATAAAACCTGCGAATAAGTTTCAAAAAAAACTGTTGACTGTGGCAAAGTCAAATGTTTCCTACGCGTTGCGGCAACTAGCATTGCACAACAGAGTGCTGTGAAGTGAATTCTGTTTCGTGTTTACCGTAACCTTGTAACTGTGTGTCGTCCTATGATTACATTACATCACATTCTCGTTGATTTTTCCTGATCAAAAAGAATGTTGTGCAATTATAAAGTGCTCTCCCTGGGCATAACAACTTGACACTGTAACCAGGAGATGACGTGTGATTGCATCAGCCGCCTGGAGAAATATAAGCAGGTCATAAAATGATCGGAATGGAACAGGGGCACGACAGAGATAGAAGTCCATATATCCAGTATCTCGAATATTCTATAAAACACGGCAGAAAATTTCGTTCCTATATTCTTAGTCTAACTAAAAAACAGCATGAAACACGGTTAAGTTATAGATGAGGCAATGAATAGTATGGCCAATCAGATGACTGATTAACAACACCGACGTTCGGCTCCTGAGGCGCGAAGATAGTAGTGAACGGATCCACTACAGCAGAACAAGGAAGAATCCACTACAGCAAGATAAGGACGAATCCATTACAGCAAAACAGCTGAAAAGATCCTAAGAATAAAATATAATTACGCTTTCTGCACTAAAAATATACGTTGGTAATTAAATTCGAATAGTCCACAGAATTCAGAAAAAGAAAATCCCAAACAGTAGTAAAATAGAAATATACAAATCATAAAAGTGTAAGCTGTCGAGACAAGCAACAAGTTTAACAGCATGAAACAATTCTGCATTCCAAAATTCGTACCGAATGAGTTCCAAAACACAAGAAAAAGAGTAGTCAGATTCAGTGCATATTGGCAAGAAGTTCTTCGTTCTTTTCATAGAGTTATTGAATCAGATTTAATATTTTTTCGAATTTTACAGTCCTTTACGGCGCAGAAAAGCAAACTGTGGCCAGTGGAAACCAAGAATCAAAAGGTCAACGTTCCTGCTTAAAAAAAGACTCTCTCCAATTGTAAGTATCAAGCAACCAGAGCGAACCGTCTATTAATGACTGTGCATTAAGATTAGTATCAGCTGAATATCGCTTGTGTTAAATCATATTACTTTTATAGAAGCTGCCCATATGCTATTAGAAATACTAAGGCAGTCATCTTTCAACCATCATCAGCAATCATTTCACCGTGGATATGCTATGAATTTAATTTCTTAATTAGTTTCATTTAATTATTCGAAAGGCTCAAGGTATCATTCAAGTTATTGCTCAATCTGCTTTAATCGGTAAGAAAGTATAAGATCGACTAGCATAATCCATCAGTAAGAAATTAATCCTTTCCGCATAAATGTCTGAATCAGGGAAATTCTAAATGCAGCTGTCCTGACAAAAAGGGCATGTCAGACAGGTGAATTCAAGCTAGAACAAACTATGAGTGAGCGTCGGTGATCAGATGTGTGAGTAAGACGTTAATTAAGAAATTGAAAAGCAGATTCATGCGAAGCCTAAGGTAATGGATACGATTTGGAAAGAAATAAGAGTATCCAGAATAAAACAAGCATGAGTTTGATTCAGGACGAAGCGTTGCCATGGACAAAGGACACTCGCATTTGCAACGAACAACTAACACTGAAGAAACTAAGTTTACTGAAAAAAGACTATTTGTACTAGCGCATCGGAAAAAATGTAGAAATAGACTACAAAATTTATTTCTTAATTAAAATGTACCGCATAGTGACAGAGTTAACTAACATTAAGACAACTCATCAGAGGTAGATTTTCTCGTAGCATAAATCCGATTTTAAACTTTTTAAAAAAAGATAAATGGAGAACAAAACATTTCGTAAGCGATTGTCCACCCTAACAAATAGTCATACTCGGGGAATTAATTTTTCCCCGTCTGTTAAGCAAATATAAAACAAGAAGCTTTATATCTTTAAAAGTATGTTAACTCAACCATGAGGAACAATGTTAGAACAATCCTACCGGTAAATATTTTTCAGAATCAGTGAATGAACAGCAATCGATCAACAAAAAATTTAAACTAACAAAATTGAACAAACCCCCTGCGAATAAATGTATGTACAAAATTTCAATGCCCTAAGACGGAAAAAGCATGGTCCGAAAAAATTACAACAACCTCATTATTTAGTGGTCCTGTAAGTTTTTACCATTCAGAAGTATACTATCGCAGATTCGAATTCTGCGTTCGAGTTTAACATTGTTCATTTTCAATCTTTCCACTTACTGGTAGAAAAAAAATAAATGTCCATCAACAATGACTACCATAACGCGCGGCAGCTTGTTCAAGCTAAACTAAAGCAATTAAATCCGATAACGAACAGGTAGGTATTGATTACCATTAACTAAAGTCGAGAACGGACATTTAAAGAAGCGCTCCAGCGTCTTTGTAGTCGGTAAAATCTAAAACGTGTGTTATAAACTAACACAAATACGGCAAAAAGCATGCTTTAAGGTTGCAACAGCAGCCATGAAGGCAAGTTACGAATCTGAAAATAGATGGGTAACCAGGATCAGATATTTAGCACAATATTCACCGCGCCTCGTGAAATTCGACTGCAAAGCAGACAGATAGTATTACGCCAGTGTACTCAACGTAAAAGGGTTCTGCTCATTCTATGACATACTCCTAACGATGATATCCAAAAATACTGCCTAGTTTCTGCCCATAAATCAATTCTTCCATTTTATACTTTTTTTGTTAATAGTAGTTTTGTTAAATTCTAGCAAATCGCAACAAATGAGACTGGACGCTACCTTCCACATTAACTGCGAACATGCTACAACAAAATTTTTGCATTAAGTGGTGTATCGGCGGAATAGTTTAGCTAATGAATGGTTGGAAAAATGAAAGAAATATTTTGATATCACAGAAAGTAAAATCATTACCACCATTTTTACAGTAGAAACCAAATAATGCGCAGTAGAAAATCAAACTTTTCACCTTAACATAATCATCGTTCCAAATGGCAGGTGGCATTTGTTATAAAAAGCTTGTTTAAAAGTTTTAATATCATTCCTAAGAATTTTTTCCATTTGTAGTACATCAGTTTAAACTTTTGTCTTCAAACAAGGCTCAAAAATATGCAAAACTTTAATTCGTAAATTTCAAAACAAATATAAATTCAACTTACAGTTCTAGATATATCAAAAAGATCTGTAAATTACAACTAAACATGTTGTACAAAGGAAAAATCATTTACAAATACAGTACATAAATAGCTTCACTCGTCATAACAGCTTTGCATTTAAGGCGCCGGAGCTGGCTTCTGTATACCGCCACCCTTCTTTCCCATCAACGAACGATGAATATGAGGAATAACACCTAAAGAAAGAAACTAAAATGTGCGATTGGCGCAAAGAAGTCAAACCTCCTCCAGCTATAGTTGCTTTGATCAATGTATCCAATTCCTCGTCACCTCTAATTGCTAGATGTAGATGTCGCGGTGTGATACGCTTCACCTTGAGATCCTTAGAAGCATTTCCGGCTAATTCCAGCACCTAAGAAGCCTCAAACTCCATTACATCGAAGCAAACTATTTTTAAATATATAAGTATTGTGTATAAGTAATCACTCGATATTTGATACGCTATTAGCGATTCAAAGACAAATACTTGAAATAATTTAAACATACATTGCGAAACGCATAATCTGAAGAGAAAAATCACATTTTTAAGTAATCTTTTTTCTAAAAAATGTTTCTGGCATGCTACAAAAATAGAAAGAGAACAATAGGATACTACAAAAAATATACCGAACAAATACTTTGCGAAGAAATTAAAGGCAACGCTTACTTCAAGAGAATGACATACGCAGCTGAATAGACAATACGATTATCTGTCGACAAAAATGGCGCCAAAACGCAAAGGTTCGGCAAGATAACAAAAACGAGATATTTAAACGCTTTACCTCGGCGGTCAAATATTCCAAGATCGCCGCAGAATAAACAGCTGCTGTAGCACCAACACGGCCATGACTGGTGGTCCGCTGCTTCAGAAATCTATGTATTCTACCAACCGGAAACTGCAATCCGGCACGTGCACTGCGCGAAATCGCCTTCGCTTTCGACTTTCCAGTATCTTTACCAGCTTTGCCTCCAGCCTAGAAATCAAACATTAGCAAAACGCGAGTAACGCGTGGAGCACAACCCACCATTATTAAGCACTGTTACCAACCGAACGGAACAAAGCAGATACAAGCAACACGCGCCAACACAAACAAGACAATACCGTTTAAAATTTGGATGCATCTCCAACATTATGACCTGCAGGTACGAACGCAAACTGTACCTGCAAATCTGCGTCAAATTCACTGTTATAAATACGTTACAATGGCAAAATGCATTCTTATAAAATGTTGCTAAAAGATTCATAGACAGGTGTTTGAATGATTCATATTTTGTGGCAAAAAATATAACAGATTGCAAAACAGTTATTGCCACGCGTTTTGCTTCATATATCGTAGCAACATCAGGGCTATGTCAAGTACAAACGATTTCTAGTTAGCGTAGTCAATATGATTCACCCGTCTGTGTGGTTAAACGCGTTGGCAATAAACCGTTTTACCATCTGCTGTTTTTGATGCTATAAAACATTCAACTGCTAACCCATATAACTATTGGCTCTGAATCAAATACCTGAAGTACCGTTTAGTTATGAAGGGCTCAGTAACATATGACTACTTCTTCTTCTTCTTTTCCATCGCCGCTTCTAATTCTGGTCCGCGGAGGCAGACGCGTCAGACAGTGCTTCCAACGTTCCCGATCCTGTGCCAGAGTCTGAGCTTCGGCAAAATGGAGGCAGACGCGTCAGACAGTGCTTCCAACGTTCCCGATCCTGTGCCAGAGTCTGAGCTTCGGCAAAAGTTGATCCCAAACTTCGGGATGACTAGTTTTATGCGGTAAAGTGAATGATTAGAAGTATTGGAGAGTGAACATATGACTAGGTTATTCTAATTTTCAAGATTGTTGTTGGTGGCACTTAACTTTTAAAATCATTAGTCAAATGGATTTATCTCAATTCGGTACTACTGTGATGACATCCTTACATCTTGTAAGTGAACTAGTTACTGGAATGCAAAATTCTATGTCAAGTGTAAAGTTCGTTCTCTGGGGACCATCTTAACGAGGTTAAAACAACTCTTCATAGAGACAGTTTAGAAATTTCTCGGAGCTTCTCTTTCAGGAATCGTGGCTAAGTTAATTAATCACAGGACTCGGTCGCCTAGAAGTATTTCAGATGAACTGATCTTCTAAGAAATAAACATGTGGCGGGGAGTTCTAATATATTTTCGAGAGGAGTGGTGTGCCCATCCAACACTGAAGTTCATATTTCAGTCTGATAACATTGATGGCATGATTCTTTCCTTCTGGAAAAGAATTTTTCCCTCTTTCAACATGCAATGTTAGGCAGTACTGATTCTCTTCCCCATTGCAGAATCTCAGGTCAAGAAGGGTTTGCGGACTCGCTGACAGCATTCTTATTACCGGCCATTCAGAAGAATGTTATTATTTTGGCTGGAGACCTCAATCTGCGCCGTCTTGAATCCTTTTATACTTGTCCTAAAAAACGTAAGTTGAGACTCAGCTCTCGAGCAAATAGTTTCGCTACAGTGTAAAGTACGGTTTGTGGCATCCTACTCTCATCATAAAGTGTAAGTCGTTGAGCGTTGCATTTTCTTGGACGCTTCAGTGGTTCCACCCTAAAAAGGAAAAATTACACAGATAATGCAATCTTTACTCCTGTCCATCGATCTCAACTGCAGTTAACAGTGTCATCATCAGTTTACACACAGTACGAATGAATCGCTGCTTCATTGGCTTTAATCTAACGAATATGGGGAGAAATATTAGATCGCGATGCAGCGCAGGGAAAGCAAATCTAAGACAACAACCTGTATCCAAATTATCTCAGCCGTAACTTTCGCTATTCGGGAATGGCAAGTCTGTATCAGACACTTCTGTTGCTCCAGCGATTAATGGAGAACGAAAATCTATATAAATGACTAATGATTAAGCAAAAAGTTCCTTTTTACATAATCGCCACTCTAACGTGGCTTCAGGGCCCGGATGGAATCAATTCCTATCTGCTGCAACTTTTTTCAGATGGATTATCGAGCATACGTCGTAGGATGAACAATGCTCTTCTCTCTGAAGTACAATATATACACAAAGTGTGGTTAAATGATAACTTGGGTGTTACGAGAGAGTTTCTACGATTGTCAACATTTCATTTACGAGGTAAACATTGTTTCTGAATTACTGACACGAGATTTAAGCAGCGAAAATGTGCTGTAAAATGCATTTGGAGTTTTGAAAATGTAGTTTTCACTTATTTCTTGTTGCTTGTTAAAGCTGGACACAATTCCATTCCATGTTCATGGAGTGCATCGGAGGCCTCTGCATTTTGCAGAACATATCATGTGCAATTAGCAAAAAAATTTTCCAGTGTACAAGTTTAAATAAAATCTGGCAGCGTCTTACCTAAAGAGTTGTTTGTGGAAACGAGACGAAATGAAAATCGTTTACCTCCTAATTTCCGGTGTCAATAACTGAAATATATCGACAATTCACCCAGATTAACCAAATCAACTTGGTGCAAATATATGGAAAGAGCTTAGTCCAGGCTTCGGCTGTCTTCTGCCGAAGCTGATGCTATTATACAGGATCAGGAATGTTTGAAACACTGTCTGAAGCATCTGCCTCAGGGACCCGAAAGGAAAAACGATAATGGTAGATGAAGACGACAGTTTGTCCGATTTTTCGTGTAACATTTCATTTTTAGGGGTAAGAAGTTATACAAACAGATTACCAGTTAATGAATTTCTATGTATATTTAATTTTCTCCCTGTGCGTTGATAATTTTTTCACGTACGATAGAACTCCCACAAAATTGATCGCCCATGAGCCGAAACATCGCGCAATTTCTTGATACTTTATCTACACAGAATAAACTTATTTACTGTAAAGGTTGTGATAAATTATACGGCAGCATGATTCGAACTATTTATCTTTTTGAAATTATCATTGGTCGGCATTAATTCTCCTTAGATCAGAATGGGTTTGTTTCCTTAAATGAAAATATTTTTAGGCGCTTCTATTATGATTCAAATTATACTTGCCTTTCCTTAGCTGTTTACTGTTGACTGAACAGCTACATATTCACTACGGATGAAAGGCCCTTTCATAAATTTGTTATTTGAGTATATCGAGATATGTTTTGTGTAAATCTTATAAATTTTACCAAACATTGCATTGCATCTGGTTTAAATAGTTTTTGGAAGACGATTGTATATTTTCTTTAAGTCAAATGGCAGCACCTTGTCAAGGTCTCTTCCTTAATGTGATGACAGCGAATTTCCTTTCACCCTACACATGCCAGATGAACTAAGAAACGAATTTGTGATGAAAAATCTATCATTGTGAAACAGTTATTTCGCACAATGAATATCTTTACGATTTCTGACACTGCTGTAAACTGTTTTTATGAGTTAATGTATTTGTGTTGCAGACTCTGTACTATCAATTCCGACTCTTCACGTTTCCGTGTGGGTAGCGTAAATATCTAGGTTTATCACGGTTTGTCACCGGACTAGTCTTTCGGCCATTTTAATTTCTAGTGCACTGTCGCACACTTTTCTTCTGTTTTTAAAACGTTGGCGAAGGTCAATCAGCCTGAAACAGCAGAAGTTATCTCTATCATTGCGGTATGTGTACTGAATCAAGAATGAACCATGACTGTTTCAGCCTTTCACAAATTCAGTTTCATTGTCCGTGTTGAGCAAAAGGTTTGTCTAATAGAGGCAGTAGCGCTTGACTTCAAAGTTGTGTTCTTGTTTTGTTTAAGCCTACTGAAAAATTTTGCGCTTGACTGCTAAATTCGATCGACAAGCTAATTACTGATACATTTATATTCGATTTTATGGTCTTCAACTCTTGCTTTTTTATAGGTTTTTATGCATCTTAAGTTTCTAAGTCTTTAGGCACTTCCAATGTTGTATCAAGAACGTGGGTTGAATTGCTTGCCTTGAACTAATGGTTGAATCTGATTTAACATGGGCGTTGGCGCGCTTAAATTTTGCAGGTGAGTAGAACGTTTTTTTAGATACAATGCTTTGTATTTTTTCTCTCAAGAATTTGTTATGCATCGCCAGGCGGTGCTGGCAGATCACTCGCATGGTTGGATGAAACACTTTTGCATTCCTAACAAAATATCTACCACATTGCCTTAAAATATTCCATGAAATCTCTCTTAACTTGTCATTGTGTCCAAGGAAGACAAAGGTCTGCGAACAGTCATAAATCAGTTAGCTACATTCATTTTTCTTACCATCTTGACGCTCACAGTACATCAGCATTGTTCTCGATGAACTTACCTACCACATTCCTTTGCCCTACTTTGAATCCAAGCTTCATACATTTAACAAAAGAAACGTAAAGGTTTGTAATCACCAGGATATCCGTCTCTCTTGCACGCCCATTGAATATTTTTTGAACAAGGTTTTTCTGTCTTGATACGCGATGGTCACTTTTTATCAATACCTTCAGTCTACTGTGCACTGTTTATGAAACCAGACCTGCAACCATCTGTGAACGTAGGTGTATGCCCCCGCTTCTTCTTCACCTACAGAAATACTCACTTTTGTTCTTGTGAAAATTTAAATGGGAGTAACGCTGGTCTGGATTCAAACTTATATTCTTTCAGCTTTCATTTTCACTCACTAGGCATTCTAGGCAATAGTTTATTTGTTTATGAATGTCATAGAAAATTGTTTTAATTTTGCTCATTGACGCTGCTGATTTTGGTAAGCTATCAAGTGCATCGACGCGACCTGAGACACTAAGGCTCACACATCAGGCAGCATGGCGGTTTGTATCGCACGCTTTGGTCTGACCACACCAGAACAACCATGCTGTCCATGTTGTTCGCAAGTCATCGACATGCCACCCGTCTTTGGGCTAAATGCACTGAAGCAGAGTGGAATGAACTCCGTGCTCAAGAGAATTGACAATTAATAAGAGAAAATTTAAGTTGCGTTTTATGTTTAAACTAGGCACTTATAAAGTACAGAGCAATCTATTTAATTTACCCCTCGAACTTTGAAAAACAGTACAGAAGCAGTTTGTTTATGCACAGCGCAATACAGTGGTCTTATACAGTTACTGGTATCGGGTGAATAATTCAGATGTTTCGACCTGTGTCTCGCGGTCTTCAGGGTGAGCTTGGTTGTTATTTGTTGACAGAAATGTGTCTATTGCAGCAG